GCCTCACCCATCACGCCTCACCCATCACGCCTCACCCATCACACCTAACCCGTCATGGCTCACCCATCACTCCTGACCCATCATGCCTCACCCATCACGCCTCACCCCTCACCTGCCTGTAAGGAGTTTTCAGACTCGTGTGAGACGCGGTGCTGTGTGCGTGGGGGTGGGGGGAGTCGCAGTGTGCACGCTCTCTGCTCAGGATGCCAACTCTGCCTCAGCACTGCAATGCAGCGCTGTGCATTCGGCCAAGTCATGCTTCACACACTCACACATGCAGTGATCAGTGTGTGAGACGACACGTGTGGGTGGGGGGGTTGGCTAGTGGGTGGGGGGGGTTCTCCCTCTATGATTGTCACCCTTGCAGTGTTTTGGTCCCTGCAGCGATGAGCTGTGGTGTCTCTCCCCCCTCTCACCCTCTGCAGGGCAGTTAGCCGCATTAGCTCCCTGCTTGTCCTCAGATGACTCCTCCTCCTCCTCCTCTTCCACCTCGGCTGTCTGCTGTATCCCTGCCTCCCCCTCCCTCTACCTCCCCTTCTGTGACACACCAGACGATGCACTGACTGAACGAGGAGAAGAAGAAACCTCTCCCAGCGAGCCATCCCGCCTGCTGCATGGAGAAGGAAAGGAGGAAGAGGAGCAGAAGGAGGTGAGGAGGAGTCTGCCATCCATCGTCTGCTGTCTGTTGGTCTTTTAACTCATCTGTCTCTGTTTACATTGTTTTCTCTCTGCAGCCTGTCTGCCTGTCTCTCTGCTGGACTATGACAACACTGAATGTAACTCTCTGGGAACCGTCCAGTGTGGCTCATAACTGCAGGGGGCCATAGGAGAGTCTGCTGGACATCAGGACACTGTAGCGGACCCTGAAGTGGACAGTGAGGGACAAACGCCCAGCCAGCCAGGTAGGTCCCCTTAGTTTCCACAACAAAGTGCTGTTGGGTTGAGATGCATCATTCTGGCAGGAAGGGAGCCTGCAGAGCCTCTCCTGGAACACCCATAGATCAGAGTATTCAGATTAATGCTAACTTTTAGCACCAGGGGGCTCACCAAGACAAAACATAATGATGCCAGAAGAATAGAACTATTTATGTCTTCTACAGAAGGGGGGGGAATAGATTCCTTTGTGATGGTGGCCTTAGATCACTTCATCCCACAAATGGACCCAGTGTCTACCAGAGCAATGTCCGGTTAGTAGAACCTCATCAGTGTTTGGTCTGGATCTGGAAGTCCCACAGGACCTTATCTTCATCATAGTCACTCATGGTGGTGTATCCCGCCCTGACCTGAGGACGTACCACCAATGCACAGATTTTAGGCCATTCTTCCAGGTGCTCCCTGTAATTGTTACCTGCCACCACTTGGACCACAGCTGTTATCTGCTGGTTCAGGCCAATCTTTGCACAGCTTGTCTCTGGGCTCCTGTCTGGAGGGTAGACCCTGAAACCTTTTGCTTTTGTGCTCTTATTAGAGCCTCTTTCCTGTCCTTCAGAGTTTCTCTAGTTTTTTTTCCACAAAGCTGGTTTGTTCTGGTCTGAGGGGACGGATATTGTTGCTGCCTCTAAGGTTTTAAGAAGTGCTGCAGTTATTTATCACCTACATGAAACATCACTGATTCACCAAAGCAAGGACATCATGATGCCATTCTGACAGGATAAGAGGGGCTAAAAGATGGGGAACCACCAGAAGCCAAAAGATTCCAAGGGATACCACAGGAGAACCTAATCTCCAAAAAATCTTAACATCTACTGAGAAAGGTAGGTCCTTAGAAGCCAGCTGAAGGGTAGCCAAATTTTCAGCAACATCTCACCGACTGATACAGCAGCCCGACCAAAGCAGGAGATCGAGACAAAGATGTCCAGACAAAGAACCTAATAGTAGGAGGGGTTTAGAGGACAGGAAAGGGTTGAGGTCAGTACCCAGAACACGTCTGCAAAGAAGAGCAGTAACTGCAAGAAGAGAACCAAGATAAATCCTCCTAACCTAGCACAAGGACAATAGAGGACAGGGTCTACCAGACCACATGAGCCAAGCTGAGCTAGCAGGGCCTGTGACAGGTACAGGTAGGGGGGAATCGCAACCAACCAAAATGTGAGCAAACTATGATATCAACATCCCACAGTCAAAGTTTTAGACACTCGAACAATTTGAGGAAAATAACAGCTATAGTCCTGTTAGACAATAGCCTGGAGAGCCAGACGTAATTAGACCTAGCGTACAGCGGTCTGGCTGACTCCGGTCTGATCAGGCCTGACCAATCCCAGCGCAGGAGGCGGGACTTTGAGATGCAACACTCTTAGAGCCAGAATTACCCATAACTCTTCTGCTAGCATAACAACTAGCTGGCAACCACAATAGAGCAACGTTACCGTGAAAATTAAGAACGTAACAGAGTGCAGACCTTAAATCCTCAGATTTTTAGGGAAAACCAGCAGAAATGGTTCTCTGGATTCGACAGCTTGACATGTTTCATAGACTACAAACAAAAACAGAGCGCGTTGCATCCTTAGTCACCTGATGACGCCAACCCCTTTAGTCCCGCCTTTCAAATCAAGCTCTACCAGGTCTCTACCAGCCGGACAGGCCGTGTAGACATGGTATCTGTTTGGCTGGAGAGGCTAGTTAGACAGCAGCTGTCAGAATCCAGTTCTTCAGGGTCCGTGTTCTGCACCTGTTAGGTTAATCTCTGCTTTAACACACCAGAGTCCAAAAGTTATTAGTCATATTTTATCAGTCATTCCTTTGCAGCAGCCACCAAAGGCTGCAGGGCCCTGATAGAGCACTTTGCTCTCAATCTGCAGGTTTACTAGTGGTTCCTAGAATTTCTAAAAGTAGAATGGGAGGCA